GATAATTTAATTCTCTACAACTTTTATTTCGGTTCTTTTTGTTAAAAGACGCATTCTTTCCCTGATATTTGTAAAAATGTAAAAAATAACCGTGATCTCACAGATTTTTGGGCGCTACTTTTTAAGGAAGCATTTTTTGACCCATGTTTATAGGGAACCTTTTGTTCAGTATTAAATTATCTTTTAAATGAGATCAAAGTTATTGTATTGGGTTGAACGAAAAGTTCGTGCCGTTTTTTCGATCTTCATCTCTTGTTAGTAAAAAACGGAACGAACTTTCCGTTCAACCCAATATAAATCTTTAGCATTTCATTAAAATAATTCAAGGTTCGACGTAAATTAGAAAATCTCAAGTGTCTTCCCACTAAAATATATAAATAAAATGGTCTATATAAATCGTGACAGTCAACAGTCAGCACGTTTCTATTAGTGTGACAGGACAGAGTCCGCGTCCCACAGGAAAATTTCTGTGGAATGTCGCAATCAATCAAAATGTAGAATAAGAAAGATTTTATTTATTTCCGAAAGATGTAAACATCCATTTCCAAGCGAGATATCTCTGTCTCTATCTTGATTGATATATATAAAACGTGTATTTCTTCACACGTACATGATTTTTACGTGACAATGGGATAACGGGATTAAATATTAATGAAACATTCTCTCCTATATCAAATAAGTGAGAAATGTCTATTGATAATATCTGTCGACGAGATGATACGCGAGAGCGACAACCGAGATTCCCCCTTTTCCTCCTCTTCTCGTATTATTTGCCGGTACTTTATCGTTAACTCCCGTAATTCACTACTTGAGTGACCGTCCTCGAAACGAGAGTACTCTCACTCATTGTCAGTGCACATAAATACGCCACTGTTCTCCCTTATAGCGTAAGAGAGTGTATGCGTGCGTGAAATTAACTTTCGAACAGTGGCATCTTCACGTATACTGGCATATAATATTCACAGTCAAATACCTATCTTATTAACATATTTATTTTTCACATTTCTATATATTATTAATACATCTCGTCGTTTTTTCCCCTTCTTCACGGATAGAGTAAGAATGTTATTGCACGCATGATCAAAGCATCAGAACATTTTCTTATCATGTCTATATCGTTAAAATACAGTGAAATAAAAAAAAAAAACCTTAAGAATAAGGAAATTATTCTTTAACAGATTAAATATACAGAGATATTTGACGGTATTTATTCATAATATATATAATTATATTATTGTAAGAATAATAATGACATTTGGAATTAACATATCATTTTAATAAATCCAGAAAGAGCTATCAATCGCGCGATAAATTTTGCGGGAGAGAATCGCGTAAAATTAAAATAAATCATCAAATATATTCTAATCGCGAAGCGCGATTGTCTTTCATTACATTAGACATTCACATGAAAATTCGAATGATTCGTCTACGCGATTCACAGCATTATCCAGCGAACGTAATAATTGGAATAGAGCCGTATTTAGGTTCCCGAGATTGCGTTTCGCGTTCGCGATCGTTCTGACGTTATCGTCATTAGTATTATTATCATTATCGTCATTAGCGCGCATGCTCCATGCCGCGCACGAACGTGCAACCTCCTCGCGAGACCATCGACGACACATCATCGTGCCTCGGTAACGACATTCCGCTTCCGGTACGGCCGTAATCGGCAGCGAGAGGATTCCCCCACCGATTCCTAATGGGTCTCGAGATAAGAGGCGTTTAGCAATACAAAGAAACGACTTCCGCGTTAATTTCTGGTATGCTCGCACGGGAAGGTTCAGGTAAACCCTCCTCGAATTAAGCTTTGTACTCGAGAAACATTTTCATCGATATGATTCAACATATGATTTGTAATAAATTATACTGTTAAATATATGAAAAAAAATGCAAGATTAGATATATTCTGGATGTCTCTTGGTATACGTAAATATTTGGAAAATAATTACGAATCAGCTTATCTATGTATTTATACGAGAAAAGCTCGTATATGTAGTTACTTACATTTTTATTAAATTGTATTCCGATCGAGTTTTTTTCAGTCGCGCACGAATCTTCGATGAAATGATTTTGCAAACGATTTCGAAACTCTCGGCGATACTCGGATCGTCTCATTATGTCAAACTCTTTACCGCACATCGACTTCCACGTGCCTTTCATGTAATTGCGCTTGTGGCAATGTCAAAGTTAACCTTGCCTGGTTTGCTAAACTCGAGTGTGTTGTACCGAGAAAATTGCAGTGATAACATTTGTCACGGATTGCAAAACGATACTTTATTAACATAACATATAATTCCGCTTGACACTAAAAGAATGCCTCGGTAAATACTTTTAACTTTCATTCAAAACAAGATTTGACAGAAGACCGTAAGACTCTCTTTTTGTCGAGTCTCTTAATATGAAAGTCAAAGCTCTATAAATCTCACTTTAATTTTCAGTACAAAAAATATGATTGAATTTAGTTGCTTAAAATTGAGTAAAGAAAAAAGAATGCTATCATTTATTTAGATTTCGGCAATTTCTTTATTCTGAAACGCGCATAAATAATAATAAAAATAGAACATCTTTTTATATATAGAAAAAAAAAATATCGTAAAAAATGTTAATTAACATTAACATTGTTGTACAATGGGCAGCTCCCTCATTACGATTCTCATGAAATAATGACGAAATAAAGATAGCATATCTTTTCCACAGCCTATCGCCTTGCCAGTCGATTCCCACCTCCCCTCCCTTTCCACCCCGAACATTTTCCGGATCGTTAAACATCGTGTCGAGCAAGCGTGTCGCTCGTTGACCCTCGTGTTCCAAGGATGTCCCATGGAAATTAACTTCGACGTCATCGTGCGAAATAATTATGGGAGATGATTGTCATATCTCGCGGAGCATCGCTGCTTTAAAACTTCATGTGTCTTAATATAAAAATAATACGCCGATTGTTGAGTAAATGAGATGAGAAATGCTATTTTGAATCTACGGTGCACAGATTTTCCATATTTTTTTCCGAAACTTTTCTTTCTTTCCTCTCGAAATATTACGCGTTCTCCGTCGTTATCCTCGGTGAACGTAATTTCATGAAATTGAGCGTGGCTTTAAGATACCGAGTGTTCTCGGAAAAAAAAAAAAACACGTGCGAATGTAACTCGAGACGCAAGCTCGCTGGGTGAGGAGAACTCCGCGATAACGAAACTAGACGAGTAGCGAAATTTTATCATAGCTACGATCTCTATACTCGCGTATAAAATTTATTCTCTATTTTTCTATTTAATCTCACGAAGAAATTTATATTTTATTCTTTATATATTTATTATCTATCTTTACAAGCCAATATTCTAAGATAAAGAACGATATTTTTTTTAAATATTGTTTATTCTATTTATGTAGTTTTTATTACTTTAACTCACATATTTAATATAAATTCTTTATTTTTTACAAGAACTATAATTTCATCCAATAAATTAAAAATTCTATGAGAGTCAATCAATAAAAAATATGTATACAAAGTATTTTTCCTTTTGACTGTGGGAGGAAGATCCAATTATATAATAATAAATTTTAATTTTTGTACGATAGAAACTACATAATATTTTTAACATTTTTAAATTATATCTTTCTTTTATTTTACCATTGTTATTACTTTCGGTAATAAATTTCTATCGATCCATTTTAATTTATTTCATTTTCACAGAGAGTTATTATTCCCAATTTCAAATAACACAAATGTTTCGAAATTGTCCATTATTTCAGATGTCCTTTATACGAGTAGAGCGCGATGCGCATGAATCAAATATATTGCAAAAGTCGATAACATATTTTATGTACCTATGTTCCGAGTACTTTATTACAGAGTCATAATAATCGAAAGCAAAATGAAACAGTAATAAAATATAATAATCACTAATTAATGATCGACGTTTTCGCAAGCGTGCAAGAGTCCACGAGACAAACCAGCACGTGTATTGAAAGGGTCAGGTGTCTCTCGTGTAAAAGATTCTTACATCAAGTTCGTACATACCGAAAAGAAATCCGTGTACTCACCGGGATGACTCGTCGCTCACTCCCGCCCTCTCTCTCTCTCTCTCTCTCTCTCTCTCTTTCGTCTCTTGTCGCACCGGTGTGGCTCCTCCGCTGTGAATCCGTCACTCCAAGATTACCGTCACACACCGCGTAATCACGCACCGCACGGCTCTCGGACGTCGAGATGGACACGCACCCGACAAAGTACAACGGAAAATTCACTCGCGTTCCTCTATCCGTCGCGAGTATCGCGCGGCCCGGGACTGGCGGCGTACTTCTCGCGAGATTGAGAACGCGAACAGTCACGATATATCTCAATACAAGCCTCGGGCCGTCATGCACTGACTGCCGGCACTCGGTCCGCTGTCAGCGACCGTCCCACTGCGCATCCCATCGTCGACTGCGCGCGCACCTTCACGCATTTCGAACGGACCCGACTCGACCGCTCTCGTGCGACGCTAGCGCGCTCTATCGTTGCACCGCGAAAGCAAGTTTCAATTTCCCCAACGCGCGCATTTCTACGCATTTGATAAACACAGTTCAATAAATGTTTACGAAAAGCTAAATATTATTGTCGGAATATTAAAAAATAAACATATATATCATTTAAAAAATACCTGTATTAATTGTCAGAATAAATATATTAATCTTGTAGAAAAAATCTGATTTCTTGCGATGATTCGTAGAATAAAAATATAATTTTCTCGATTTTTTGGATCAATACACGATATCAATTTATCGATTATATCAAATGATAATAATCATTTATTATTTAGAGTAGAGACGGCAGAGACTCTCAAGAGTCTGTATCGATTATTTTACTGATTGCCTTTGGTCAAAACTGGTGAAAAACTAGCGAAAATATTGAAAATTTCAGCATCGTCTGTAAATGCTATATATATAAACTACTTTTCTTTATTTGGCTCGCCATTTTTGGCCAAAATGAACTGTGTCCAGATTCTTACTTGAGGATCTCTCTGATTTCAGGACTTGCGGAGCGATTCCTCGGTAGACACTCGCATCCCCATAAAAGCGGCCGAGTAATTCCCTTTGCCGGTATCATCGAATACAACGCGATCGTCGATAATCCACCGACTGTAACGGATTTCCGAGACGAGACGGAATCCATGTTTCAACGCGAGCGATTGACTGCGACCTGACGTGAAAACGCCACCGATGGCTGCTAAATTCAGCGTGGACGCGACTTGGACGCAAGTATTCAAGAGGGCGGCACCAATGTTCTTCTGTTGATATGATGGATGAACGCATAGGATATGAACTCGAAAATACACGTCGCATTCGAGCTCTTTGTACGCGTCCGTTTGTTTTATTAAAGCGCTGATTAAAGTCATAATTTTCTCCAAGGCCTTTCCCTTGAAATCCTAAATCAAAAATTTTAGATATATATTATATAATATACTTATTTTAATATAAATATAATATATCTATTATATATAATTATACATTAATAATTGTATATATATATATTAAATGTAATATATTTAATTATTAATGTAACAGCTTATAATATCTGTTTATATAAGATATTTTTATACAAATAAAAAATAACAATATATTAAAGCATATTAATGTATGTTGATATTCAATATTCTAATTATGTCACATTTTTAAATGTCTCGAACAGACATTATTTTCTATTTATCTCTATTTATCTCTATAATAATAGCACACGTACTTGCACTCGATTATACGTATCAGATTTATCTGAATCACTATTAACTCGCGTAACAGCGACTCCGATGACACGTCCCGATGCCAGACTAAGAGCTACCAAGCTGGTGGTGTCTTTCATCCACGTTTTTATAAGATCGAGATATACATTCACAGATTTCTCATCTTGCAGTAAGGACACCGTTTTGCACATGGGCTCTTCTCGAAAGAAATGATTCTGCACAAGAATCAACTTTTATTTTCATAATATTCACAGGGGATTACTGGATATTTTTATTCTCATATTATTCTCTACAATGTAATTGAATTAAATTATTGCTAAAGTGAGAGGAGCGATATTGAAACGAAATTTCGATCGCTAATCGATTTAATATTTTATTTATGCGTTGCATAAAATAGTGCATTTTTACAATCAAAATGGAGTACTTATTCTAATTTACTATTGGCAATAATGCAAATAATAGTAAGTTAAACGCGATTTTCTAACCGAAGAGTTTATAAAAAAAACATTTTTACAAAAGAGAGAAAATAGAGGAAAATATGGAGCGGAAAACAAGAAACGTTATTGATTCGTTTATGATTCAAATAAAAAACTCGATTGATTAATGCAATCAAGTTATCACGCGGGTTTATTTTATTCTTTCCAGATTGTTGGGTTCGCGCTGCTAAACTTTTATCAGACGCAGAGCTTCTTCGTACTGCACTTCTTTGAGATCCTGTATTTTGCATATTGCCGGTGAATCCCATTCTAAAGGCGCGTACATCCTTGCTTCCATCTCAATCATAAATTTATCTTCTTTTTCTTCATCCATGACCATTTTCATTTAGTGTTAAAATATTTGATTTTTATTTTTATTTTGTAATAACAATTATTATTAACTCTATGTGAGATGGAAGATGTTATTAAATGTCAACTGAACAGCGTATCTTCAAATGTCTTCTGTCAATCTGCAATTTGAAGTAAGGAGAAATATTTTTAGTCATATTTATTTTTTTTATTAAAAAATTAATAGTGAAACTGTACTAATTTTATGCATAGACATAGTATATTATATGTCTATGATTTTATGCCTATAGATTGCACAAAACATAATTTACAAACTGAAGGAGCTCTTATATTTGTGCTTAGTCGATTATAAATCGATTATAAATCGATAATACAAAATCAATTATTTGATTAGTTTTAATTATATCGTATTTTTTCTCCACAACAGGATTCAAATGTACAAAAATCACAAATGTGAAATAAAAAATGTGTAAATGTGGAATTGTTTCAGAAAAAAGATACATATAGTATCTCAAACAGAAAATTATCTACTGATGAGAGAAAATAAAAATTGTTGTAGAATTTTCTTTTTTGCTAATAAAGTTTTTTGTGTTCTTTTTCTTTTATATTTATTTATTTATGTATGATTTTTAATGCTAAGAGATTGCTATCATCACGATAAGTCACGTTGCATATTTTAGGAAATATTCTAACATTAAGTTTTGAAAACAGCGATTTCATTTTTTTTAATTTTCTGAAATGTTTATGATTTTAAAAATAAATTCTTAAGAGCGTCAGAACATGCACAAAAATAAGGAATTTACGAGCATTTATGATTTACAACACGCAGACCAAAATTCTATTCATTATTTACTTATAAATTTATGGAGTTATAAACCCATAAAATTTTATTTTTGACTATTGTCAGCCTATAATATAATGTACATACATAGATTGACAAATGACAATAGAAAGTTCCTATTTTAAAAAGAGAAAGTTTCTTACAAACGTTAAAAGATATAATTTTGAAAAAACGCTATTCTATTCAAAAATTTTTACAAATATAACACGAAAAAAGGAAAATTTTAAGATTTATCGAAATCATATAACAAATTTTTTGTCAATTTACAAAATTTTTATTTTGGTTTTTTTTTTTTTTTAATTTATATATAAAACATTCTTTTGACATATGACATGCCGTTTGGATGAACATATGCCCGAAAATTGTTTTGTCTATCTTGTCATCTGTTTGTCTTTTAACTGTAATATCTATTTTTCTTTAACTTTCTCTGTCAGATTTAGACGCTCATAAAACATTTTCTTTAAAAATCCTCACTTTCTAATGTCATTTCTATTGTCAATCTACGTGAGAATACATGAGTTATACACAATGAGTATATAATCGCAGAAAATAAAAGAAAGTTTGTCAGTCGGTATTTGGTAAATGACCTTGAGTGAACAGTATATTTCATACTTTGTACTGCCGTTTAAAATTTTTGATAAAGTTTCACGATACTTACAACTGAATTCGATATGAATATTTTGTCTGCTATTCCGGACTTATCGCAAAGTATGCCTTCCTTTTGCTCGAAAAGTCTTGTTAGATGTCTTGTTAAGTTGTTCTTTCCATTTTACGGGCTTCGTACAAGCTTCTTTGAATCATTTTAAGCTACGACACACCGCTCTCAATAGCCGTTTCTCATTATAGAAATCGGTGAATATTTTGCATTATTGTCCGATCACGATGTCCATGTTTCCATTATCTTTAGTACGGAGTAATAGCTTTTAAAAGGATCCAAATCGATTTCTCTAACATGACGGCCATTTTAAATCCTGATCCACGATTTCCCATTTCACTCAAATTTCTATCTCTTTTACACTTTTTACGAATTTTACGGATTCGATTTTAATATTTTCACAGTCTATTTTTGAAATATTGTACTTTTGATTTGTGTAAAAAACGTTGATTTTTTGGACCTGTTACATTAAAGAATCCCTCCTTAAGAGTTTAGTTTTGAAGTTATAAACATTTAAGAATATTTAAGAAAAATAAAATTATATATATATATATATAATGTTTTCAAAATTTTACTGTAGATTATTTGTTAAAATATGCAATGTGTGTGACTTATTGTAATCAAAGCAATCGCTTGGCGTTGATACTCGTATATAAATAAATAGATAGAAAAAAAATACAGATAAATATATTTTTAATCGTGATTATTTATCAAGAAACAATATTAGGTTCCTTATAATTTAACCTTTTTTGGCCAATTTTCGTTATTATCATTGTTATATTTCTTTTTCTAATCGTAGAATGGTTTATCCGAATACAACATTAGATATCTTAATAGCTATTTCCATCTCTCAGCTATCTTTCTCGTTATTGCTACTGTTACACTGTTGAAATATGAAGAAAAGATTTTTATTATAAAAAAATAAGTATATGACATAAATATATTTTATTTTAAAGCGTAGTTTTTTCATTCTCGTTCATGAGTGAGAAGTCAAGTACGCTCAGTGTTTGAATCAGCTGTTCGTCGTCGCGTCGCGTAATCGCGTGATATTGTATATTCACAAATTATTATTAAAAATTTCACACACTTTATTTCGGTTTAAAAGCCGTTTTATGGTATTGAGAATTTGCATAAAATTTTTGTTTAAACTATATATTGTGCTCTCTTTGCGACAATTAAAAAAATCCTATAATTTATTTTGAATTAATTATAAATCGTTAGCACAAGATCAACTGCTCGGCTAACTGCACTGATCTTATATCTGTGTTTAAAAAACTATTCCTTCAACAATTCTTTACAAATTTTCTTTATCTTCCATTAGAAAGTTTTTTTAGAAATATGGTACGTGTACTTTTGAAATATCTAACGCTTGCGCAGCTTACAATAGTTGTCCCCCACTTTCTATTTGTCAAAATCTACCTGAGTGGGGATGCCGGATAGATGCTAGTTTTCAAGCTACATTCTGTCGTTTAGGCTGCAGCATACTGTTCTGTTACATTCCGTGTGTATGTGCGTGCGTGTGTGACACAAGTTGTTACCGAATATATTATAGTATACTATATCTTAATTTTTTATCAACACACGTGATACTTCTTAAACTATCTAAAAACATGGAATTCAATCCAGAATTTACTTTGAAACAATTAAATGTTAAATTGTATATTCAAAATTGCAAATTATTACAAAGAAGTTTATTATTACCTGGGAAGTGCATGGAAATTAATTGTGGTAGTGGATACACAACAAGATACTGTCTTTTGCCAAAACTTCAACCAAGATCGACAATAATAGGTAAGAATATAATAAATTATAAAAGAATATATGATAATATATTAAGATAAAATTATTTTCTAATTTGATTATTGCGTATAACTTAAAGGTACTGATAGTTCGAAAACCATGATCGAATATGCAAGAAGAAATTATAGAAACAATGGACAAATCGACTTTAAAGTTCTTGATATTCAGACAGAACATTTGCCTGAAGAATATATCGGTCAATTTGATCATATATTTTCATTTCCCACTGTGCATGCTCGTACTAATATTTTGTAAGTATAAAATAAGTTTATATTTTGTAAGAGAGAAAAAGAAATTTTTTTTTCATGTAATTCCTCCTTTCGATAATTTTTGTCAACATTTATGCAAAGAATTATTATAAAATAATAACATTTTAAATGCAAAAAAGCTTTATGTCAATTGATTTCAATATTTTATTAAATTGAGACTAGATTAAAGTAAATTTTATCCAGAAATATTTTAACACATGCATAACTTATAGCAATAATTATATTTATTTTCTTTATTTAACAGTCAAGAGTTTGAAAATGTTTATAAAATGCTGAAACCTGGTGGAAGCTTTCATATGTGTATCGTTACAATTCACGATGCATTCTCGTTATATAGACGTATGGTGAATCACCCAACTTTTGGATCATATTTTAAGGTATAGATATATCAGTATTTTAAATATTATTTTACATGTTTCCACTACATATTTTTAATTGTTATTCTTATATTTACATGGTACCTGAAGGAATACATGGCACCATTTCATTATTCTCTTAATCCTGCGAGAGAAATAAGGCAATTGCTTCAATTTTTTGGATTTGCAATTCAGTACTATCGTCCTGCGCCATTAATGAAATATACTTCAAATTATCTTTTACGTAAGTATTTTTACTCTTTATACTACATTTACTAATCATACTTATACTGATTATAAATGACGGAAAAAATTAATTATAAAAGAAGTCCTTTTTATTAAATAATTTAATAATGATATAAATCATATCAATAATTTAACTAACTTTTTATTTATTTTGATATAATAATTTGACATATAAAAATTATTATTTCTTTTGACAGCGTATATTTTTTCTGGCCTTTCGTTTATGGACAACATGTCATCTAAGCAGCAAAAAGACATCAAGAATGAGCTTACACATCAATTTATTAATATAGAGAAAAGAGTTCAGCGTGTTTATCGTAATGTTCCAGATTTTAATGAAACTGATATCGATATATATGATATGTTGGAAATTTACGCACGTAAACCACGAAGAAATTGACGATAATGGATATATATATATTGCATATGGAACTTATTTATTAATTAATATTTTATATAATATGTATATATGAAATAATATGATTTGTATACCTAAAAAAATCTAATTTTAATAATTGAAGAGAATTGTAATATATAAATAAAATTATATAAATTTTATTTTATACGTATTTTTTAATGGAAATTGAATATAAAATACATTATATGAGCACCGACCAAAAAAAGAAATTTGTAAATGTAAAATGTTATTAAGCTGGAAAATAATAAAAAATGTGTTTTGGCAAAGTACTAGTTGCAAAAAAACAATCGTTCATTATATGTTCCTTATAACTGTTGTTTTTACAACGTAATTTTGGAAATGAGAATAAAATACTTGCGCATTAAAATAATATATTTATTTAAAATCTCTTTTTATATCAGTTTTTTTCATATTTTAACAATAACTGTAGTAATGGGTGTAACAAT